ATTCAAAAACAAACAAACAAACTCTCAACTGATAAAAGTAATTCCATCTTGCAAATTTTCTTCACTCTATATTTGTGTTATAATCACTAAATGACTTTGGCATCATGTGGGATGATATTACTTGCTTGATAATTCTAGTACGCTAGAAAAGCTTATTTTATAAAGAACTGTTCTGTCCAACATAATAAATAACACAAGACCTTCCTTATGAAGAAGTTCTTACATGGCACTAATTTTAGAACTATAGTTTGGTTGCTAGCCTTTATATTATGTTTTTTGTTGTCAACAGGCAAGGCATTTCACAGTGTTTGCCGCAGTGACGTTAATGGAACTGTACGTCTTAAGTGCTACATAGGTTATTGAAGGTTGTTTTGAAGCACAACAGTATGCTTCTACTGCCTCATCTATAGGAGTGTTGTACTAAAGAATTCAGTTTGTCAAGACAACTTTGAAATGTATCATCACAGAAACCACGCCGTAGGAGATTAGATATCTCTGAGACCTATATAGTGCAAAGTAGGTTTGCCTGGGCCTGGCAAACCCCTCGATAAACTTATTAGTGAGTAGCTCATTGTAGTCAACATTGTAGGTTTGCCTGGGCCTGGCAACCCTTAGATAAACTTATCAGTGAGTAGCTCATGTAGTCAACATTGTAGGTTTGCCTTGGGCCTGGCAACCCTTAGATAAACTTATCAGTGAGTAGCTCATCGTAGTCAACATAAAAGCGGCCGGGAATGTTTTCCTTCGCAATCTCCCTAGATCATCCATGTAAATGATTAGGTTCTCATGAGTCTCTGGCCTTTGAGCTATGAACTTAGACCCACAAACTGCTTGGTTCTCCACGGTGTTGAACTTGTAGCATATTTCAGCGACATTTATGTACCATTTATTAAGCTCATCTTCTTCCAGAGGCTCTAAGACGTTGAGTTGACGGATTTTCTAAATACTTAGCATCAAAGATTGTACCATCTTTCCCTAATTCTGTATTTTAATCATCAATGTGTCTGAAATGTTTGAGAAAAATGTCCAAATCCTCAAACACTAGCAGGTTAACTTTCTTTACTTGACCAATGTGAAACAACAATGCATAGTAGTTTCTGTGTTTGTCACCATATCTCGTATTTACCATCCCATGTTTCTGCAGTGCAGGTTGAGGAACAGCAATTAATATGTTATTAGTCACATTCTAGTCTCTCCATTCTGGGAATAGATCTCTAATACAGACATAGCTCTTACCATGACATATAAAAGCCCCTAATATTGATAAATGTCTATCTGATGGTCTCAGGATGGTGGTCATGACTTACAAACCTAAAATGACTAAAGTGGAGCAAAGACACGTGTTTTAAATAAACATTACATTAACAATCCCGTTCTCATTACCCCAAAATACAACTTAATTTCTGATATTCATGTATATTTGTTTTCAACAAGTAAATTACATGTAGTTTGTAATAAGTAGCAGATTACATAAATTTTGATCAGAGAATAGATAATACTTGTATCACAAATAAATGACGTAAACGCATCCATATATACAAATGAAATGTTTAATCGTCCAACAGAAGACTGACCAGTTTCAACGTTCTGATATCAATATACTGATTTTGGTTATGAGTAAAGAATATTTCATTGAATGTGCATAAAATGAAGACAAGGAAATCAATAATGATTATACAACATAGTTAAGTTATATCTTGCTCTAATACAGTATTCGACTATCGTTTGAGACCTGAATTAATGATCAAACTCATTATGCATTTTCATTGGAGAAAAGCCCCATTTCATACCAGCTTATAAAAGTCTCTGTGCCATTTTTAAGTAAGACTTTTTAATTGATAATTAGCACATGTTTATGAACATCTATGTACTGTTTAAAAATAACTAGATACATGCAGTTCATCTGCAGTATAATATTGTTAATATTCACCTAAATATACTATTATAAATATACACCCTTTTATATTTACAGAGGAGCGAAATATAACAATTATGAAATCTGGCATATGAATAGTTAGCTGGCCTATTGCATGCACTCCACCAGAGGGTGACACATGTGTCGATCCAGGCAATAGGGGATGGAGGGGTAGAAAAGATGAATCATAACGCCACAAAATGGAACCAGAGGGTGCATTGCCAGTGGCATGTTTCCAGGCCGCCATGACAGGCGGAAGTTGCCATGCAGTCATGACACTTGACAATGGAAGTTATCCAGAGGGTGCACTGCTAGTGGCGTGTTGCTAGGGCCATGAAGTGCATGTTGGTATGATGAGAATACAAATAGATCAACGTAACATTAACTTTATACTAACAATCAAAGTCTGAAAATTAGAATCATTGACAGTTATAATTTCATACTAATGGCCTTATTATTGTTGCCTTAAATGTTTGGTTTAAAAGAACTGCAGAAAGAATATTTCCCGCACCCCATCGCTTTATGCATACAACACTTCACTAATTCATTAGTTCTAAAGTTTTTGCTTCTATATTTCACTTACATGGCATACTTTTGCTTCTTCTAGAGCTTGATAGTGTTACTATTACATTTAACCTACTGCTACAAGGATTTTACCATACCTAAAGTTTCCAATTTATAAATGCTGAATGAGACAGGCAATTGTGTTTTATGATTTAGTACACATTTAACATATTATAGTGTAATTTTTGCTTATATACTTAATCATACTTTTACAGTTTCCTTATGTTTTATATGCAAAAGACTTACCATTAATTCATTTCTATAATTATTATATATCATTTATTTGTCCTGAAAAGGACGTTTATTTAAATTTCTTAATAAACGAGAATAATTTAATATACAAACTTACTGTTTCACTTTTTAAGTATAGATGCATATAACATAAGTTTTATTAGTTATACCATTTGGCTCTATAGATTAAACATATTCATATGCTAACCCTCTATGTATATAGCTTTGTTTTCATTCCTATCTCTAATTTTAACATCTTGTTAAATGAGTGACTTACTGTTTAACGAATCACTTTATTATTATAGAAGCTATTTTAAATAGCAACGCTTACCATTTTCTCTAGAATATTCACTTGAAATATAAAGCATACCATACAAATGAAAGTCGTAAAATGTTGTGATTTTAGAGCACAGCATATAAACAAACAGTGTTATAATGCTTTTCTTGTTGAACTAAGGGTTTTGCTTGTAAAAACAAAACTATGTGTGTTAAACTCCTATGGAACTATAGAAACACTACCCTTAGTTACACCGTCTGCCTAAAGTAACCCTATCCTCAGTAAAACCTTATAATAATAATAATAATAACATTGTCTACCCATAGAAGCACTGTCAGCCTTTGTAAAATATATGTAAATGAAACTATAAAGTAACATGCATGGAATGAAATATTTTACCAAAAACTGTTATACACAATAAAATCATAGTTATATGAATAGAGGAATAGCATATTTAATCCATAAAGCCAGGCTAATGAAACAGTAAGAATGTATGTTAAATTATTGTATATTATTTATATATATTTAAATAAATGTCCCTTTCTGGACAATAAATGTAAAAGATATGTTATGCAAATCAATTATAGAAGAAAAATCTATACTACAATACATTAAATGTGTACTAAACCACACAAACACAATCGGCTATTGAATAATAATATAACTGTCGCATTCAGTATTTATTTTGCATGTTATTAGTCTATGCTCTTTGGTGCATTATTTATTTAAATTAATTATTTAGTGAATTTCTATCATTGGTATTAAAAAAGTAGGGTTAAAAGAAGATTGGGTAAGTACTTTATTTCTTGTTTTTCATGTTTATTCTTTATTTATTATTATAAAAATAATTAAAATGTAAAAATAGGGATCTTTTTAGATAAGTTAATATTAAATTATGTAAAATAAATAATAATAATATTATGATAAAAATGTTTCATGAGGCACGCACACTAGCAGCTCGTGGGTAATATAATTCGACAGTGTAACGTGAGCTGCACATTTACCGAGTGGTTTACAAATAATAATGGCGCGAATAGTACTAAGTCACGGTTCAATGGGCAACTTAAAGCTACTTAGGATATATAATGTAGTTTCATGTTACAATTTGAAGTCATTCTAGAAAGAAAAAAAGGGTAATTTAAATATATTTAGATTTTTTTATTTTTTGGTGGTTATAAGGCCGTATAGAGATGTGGTAGAGAAAATAACAGATAAAATATAAAGTTTTACTGAAAAAAAAGTTTAAAATGTATTTAGAAGGTTTTAGGGATTACAAAAAGGATATTTGAGATTAAGAAAATTATTTTTAATCTTAACATGAAAATCACGGACTATTCAAACAAATACTCAATATATTCATGGACAAATCTTTATTTTAGTTTATTAAAAATACTTCACTAAATAATATGATTTTTTTGTATGTTATCTGAAAGACTGCTAAATTTTGTGAAGATATACAAGATATGTATCAGAAGTATTAAATTTTTAAAGAATTTAAACGAGTACAAAGAGGTCACGTGGTCAGTCACTGTTTGTTTTGTTTGAATTTCGCGCAAAACTCCACGAGGGCTATCTATGATAGCCGTCCCTAATTTAGCAGTGTAAGACTAGATAGAGGGAAGACAGCTAGTCATCAACACCTACCGCCAACTCTTGGGCTACTCTTTTACCAACGAATAGTGGGATTGACCTTTACATTATAATGCTCCCCACGGCTGAAAGGGCGAGCATGTTTGATGAAACGGGGATTTCAACCCGCAACCCTCAGATTGTGAGACGATGTCAATAAAATTGACTAAGCCCGTGTTGATAGAGTTAATGCATGAACAGAGTTTGATTATAAGATGTACATTAAATTCACAGCATTTTAATACTTTGATTTGTATGGTATGTTTTATATTTCAAGTGAATATTCTATAGAAAATGGTAAGTGTAGCTATTTCAAATAGCTTCTATAATAGTAAAGTGATTCGTTAAACAGTTAGTCACTCGTTTATTATTATATTTAGTTGTAGCAAAATAAATTACTAAAAATTTTATCAATCAAATGTTAAAATTAGAAATGGGAATGAAAACAAAGCTACATATTAGGTCGTCAAGATATTGATGTCGCGTTTTGGAACATTTCATTAACCATCCCCCAAAAAAACGAACAGCCTAAGCGTCACGTTAGTGTAGCCTATATGATGTGTAAAGTTTAGTATACTCTAATTCCTTATAGTGACGGCACACGACGAGACACACATTCGGCATGTAATGCTGTTTGAATACAAGACGGGAAATAACGCCTCTGTAGCCACAAAGAATATCA